CTCTCTCTCTCTCTCTCCCTCTCTCTCTCTCTCTCTCTCTCTCTCTATCTATCTATCTATCTATCTATCTATCTATCTATCTATCTATCTATCTATCTATCTGTCTATCTACGTAACCAATTTCATCGATTGATCGATTGATCGATTGATCTATCTATCTACATAACTAATCTCTCGATTGATCGATTAGATCGATTGGATTGATTGGATCGATTGGACTCGATCGATCGATGGATCGATTGGATCGATTCGATTGATTCGATTGATACATTGGATATGATCGATTGGATTGAATCAAATCAATTGGATCGATTGGATCGATTGGATCTACTCGATGGATTGATTGGATTGGATCCATTGGATCGATCGATGGATCGATTTGATCGATTCGATCGATCGATGGATCAATTGGATTTGATCGATGGATCGATTAGATCGATTGGATCGATTGATTAATCGATTGGATCGTTCGATCGAATGATCTGTCTATCTATATAACCAATCCATCGATAGATCGATTGATCTATGTATCTCTGTCTCTATGTCTATCTATCTATCTATCTATCTATTTATCTATCTATTTATCTATCTATCTATCTATTTATCTATCTACATAACCCCTCTCTCTATCTATCTGTCTATCTACGTAACCAATCCATCTTGGATCAATCGATTGATCGACTAATCAATCGATTGATCGACTAATCAATCGATTGAGAAGGGATCGGGGCCGCGATATGGCTCCAGAGAGAGGGGATCGGGGTCAGGATAGCGATCCCGAAAGAGGGCATTGGGGTTGGGAATCGGGGTCGGATCCTGCCAACTCCAATCAATCAATCGATAAATCAATCAATCAATCAATCACTACGAATGTCTATCGCGGTCAGGATCAAAGTCGGGATCGCGGGGATCACGGTTGGGGTCGGTGTCGGAATCGGAGTCGGGATCGGGTCAAGTCCGAGTTTAATTCACGATCAATCAATCGATCAATCAATCGAAATTTATTGATTGATTGATTGATTGATTGAAAGCGGGGAAGGTGGACGTGCGAAGCTGGATGGAGGTGTGGTGGATGGCGGAAGTGTAGGGTAAGGAGTAGGAGAGGGGGAAGCAGTGGAGGGGCCGAAGCGAGGAGTAACAGGGAATGTCGGGAAAGAGACCCGAGCGGCGGTGCGGAGGCCGGCAGAGATGTGTCGAGGTGAGCGGAGGTGGTCAAAGTCAAGCGAAGGTGGGCGGAGGTCAGCGGAGCGGACGCAGGGGGAGGAGTGAACTCCGGAGGCGGGGGGAAGACTCATTTTCTTTTTATTTTTTTCTTTTAATAAGTTTTTTTTTTTCAATCAATCAATCAATCAATCAATCAATCAATCAATTGATCAATCAATTAATCAATCAATCAATCAATCAAATTGATTGATTGATTGATTAATTGATTGATTGATTGATTGATTGATTGATTGATTGATTGATTGATTGAAAGCAGGGAAGGCGTTGGTCACGGTAGGTGCGAAGGTGGGCGGAGGTGCGGGGGATGGTGGAAGTGCGGGCTAAGTCGTAGGAGCGGGAGAAGCAGCAGAGGGGTCGAAGGCAGGAGCAATGGGGAAGACCAGAAAAGAGTCCCGAGCGGCATTGCGCGGCACCTGGCCGAGATGTGCGGAGGTGAGCGGAGGTGGGCGGAGTCGAGCAGCGGTGGGTGAAACTTTGGAGGTGGCTGGAGGTCAGCGGAGCGCACGCAATGGGAGGGGTGAGCGCCGGAGGTGGGCAGAAGCTCTCTCGTACTTTTTTTTTTTTTTTAATATTTTTTTTTTTTTTTCAATCAATCTATCAATCAATCAATCAATCAATCAATCAATCGACCAATCAATCGAAATTGATTGATTGATTGATTAATTGAAAGCGGGGAAGACGGAGGTGCGAAGGTGGGCGGAGGTGCGGGGGATGGCAGAACTGCGGGGTAAGTCGTAAGAGCGGGGAAGCACCGGAGGCGCCGGAGGGAGAAGCAACCAATCAATCAATCAATCAATCAATCGATCAATCAATCAGTCAATCAATCAATCAATCAATCAACAAATCATTCAATCAAGCAATAAATTGATTTATTGCTTGATTGATTCGTTGATTCAATGATCGATTGATTGTTGAGGCGATGGCGGTTGCTCGAGATAGAGGTTCATTCGGGATCGCACCAATCTATCACGTCTCTCTCTCTCTCTCTCTCTCTCTCTCTCTCTCTCTCTCTCTCTCTCTCCCTCCCTTCAATCAATCAATCAATCAAGTCGGGTCGGGTCGGGTGCACACGTGGTCAACGACACTTCGAATCTTCGCTAAAACTAATTCTGAACTCGAGATCTTTCAACATTTTTGAAGTTTTCTGAAGTAGAGTTTCAACGATTTCAGACGTGCTGAGAAAGAGAAATATCTCTATATTGAATCAATCTTAAATGTCCAGTTTTCCCCCCCTGTCTGAGTGTATAGAAACACTGAAGATTCTAAAGATTCTGAAGTGGTAAAAATGTTAAAAATTATGAAGTACATCTCCCTCTGTCTGAGTGTATAGGAACGCTCAAGATTCTGAAAATTGTGAAGTGGTAGAAACACTGAAAGATTCTAAACCTTCCCCCCCTTTCCCTCCCGCTGTTTTGTTTTTTTAAGGGGGGGGGGTTCGAATCTTCAACGTGTTAGCCACTTCAGAATTTTCATAATCTCCAGCGTTCACCCTCGCTATCTGAGTATGTAGAAACGCTGAACATTTTGAAGATTCAGAAGTGGTGAAGATGTCGAACATTCTGAAGTACACCCCCGTCTGTCCGAGTATGTAGGAATGACGAAGATTATGAAAAATTTGAAGTAGTGGAAACACTGAAGATTCTCAACCACCCGCCTTTCCCCTGTTTTTTTTTTTTAAAAGGGGGGGGAGGTTCGAATCTTCAGCGTTTTCACCACTTCAGAATTTTGAGAATCTTCAACGTTCGCCCCCTTGTACAAGTGTGTAGAAATGTTGAAGATTTTGAACATTCTGCAGTGGTGAAGATGCTGAAAATTCTGAAGTACACCTCCCTCTGTCCGAGAGTGTAGGAATGCTGAAGATTCTGAAATTATGAAGTAGTAAAAACGCTGAGGATTCTGACCCCCCCCCCACTCCCCCTGTTTCGTTTTTTTAAGCGGAGGGGTTGTGAATCTTCAGCGTACCACTTCAGAAGTTTCAGAATCTTCAGCTTTCACCCTCTCTGTCTAAGTATGTAGAAACGCTTAAAATGCTGAAAATTTTGAAGTACACCCCCCTCTGTCCGAGTGTATAGCAACGCTAAAGATTTTGAAAATTGTGAAGTGGTGGAAACACTGAAGATTCCGAACCGCCCCCCCCTCTCCCCCCTCCTCCCTCTGTTTTGTTTTTCTAAGGGCGGAGATCCGAATCTTCAGCGTTTTCACCACTTCGAAATTGTTAGAATCTTTAACGTTCACCCTCTTGTGCACGTGTGTAGAACGCTGGAGATTTTGAAGATTCTGAAGTGGTGAAGATGCTGAAAATTTTGAAGTATACCCCCCCCTTGTCCGAGTGTGTAGGAACGGTGAAGATTCTGAAAATTTTGAAGTGGTGAAAACACTGAAGATTCTGAACCCCCCCCTTGCACTCTATCCGAGTGTCTGTGCCCAACTGTGTATAAAAGTTGGACGTTCAGACTATAAATGTTGAATATTAGTATGCTCGTTAACCTTCACTCGTTAGGTGCCGTCCCGACGTGTTCGAGATCAGACCAACTTTTTTTTTTAATTTCAACCAATCAATCAATCAATCAATTAATCAGTCAATCAATCAGTCAATCAATCAACCGAAGTAGATTGATTGATTGATTTAAACAAAAACCACAAACAAAAAACAAAGAAACCGCATCGAGTCGAGTCCCGTCCCGGCCCGTTCGACATCGCACCTACTTTTTTCTATTTCAATCAATCAATCAATCAATTAATCAGTCAATCAATCAGTCAATCAATCAACCGAAGTAGATTGATTGATTGATTTAAACAAAAACCACAAACAAAAAACAAAGAAACCGCATCGAGTCGAGTCCCGTCCCGGCCCGTTCGACATCGCACCTACTTTTTTCTATTTCAATCAATCAATCAATCAATTAATCAGTCAATCAATCAGTCAATCAATCAACCGAAGTAGATTGATTGATTGATTTAAACAAAAACCACAAACAAAAAACAAAGAAACCGCATCGAGTCGAGTCCCGTCCCGGCCCGTTCGACATCGCACCTACTTTTTTCTATTTCAATCAATCAATCAATCAATCAGCGGGGGAGGCAGCGGATGGAAGGAGCGAAGGATCGGGGGAAGCAGAAGAGGGAAGAGCGACGAGGAAGGGCAGGAAAGAGAGCCGAGCGGTGGTGAGCAGAGGGTGGCGGAGATGTGCGGAGGTGGGCAGAGGTGGGCAGGGGTGCGTGGAAGTGGGCGGAGTCGGGCGGAGGTGACCGGAGCGAAGATGGCCAGAGCGGAGGTGAGTGGGCGCAGAGGAGCTGGCCGCCTGGACAGCAGATGGGCCGAGGTGGGCGAAGGTGGGCGGAGGTGGGCAGGTGGAGCGAAGGTGGGCGGAGGCTGGTGGAGGGGATCGGGATCGGGATCGGAAAGCGGAAGCGGAGGTGGCGAACTTGCTACGTGGCGATCTTGGCACGTAGGAGGGGAAGGTGGCGAACTTGCCACGTGGCGATCTTGCCACATGGCAATCTTGTCACGTGGGAGGGGGAGGTGGCGAGCTTGCCACGTAGCGAACTTGCCATGTGGTGGGAAGCGGAAGCCGAGGCGGAAGTGCGCGGAGGTGGGCAGGTGGAGCGAAGGTGGGCGGAGGTGGGCGAAGGTTGCGAACTTGTCACATGGCGAACTTGCCACATGGCGATCTTGGCACGTGGGAGGGGGAGGTGGTTGGAGGTCAGCGGAGCAGACGCAATGGGAGGGGTGAGAGTCGGAGGTGGGTGGAAGAACCTCCATCCTTTTTTTTTTTTCTTTTAATGTTTTTATTTTTTTTCAATCAATCAATCGATCAATCAATCAATCAATCAATCAATCAATCGAAATTGATTGATTGATTGAAAGGGGGGAAGGCGGAGATGCGAAGGTGGGCGGAGGTGAGGGGGATGGCGAAAGTGCGGGGTAAGCCGTAAGAGAGGGGCAAGCAGCGGAGGGGCCGGAGGGAGGAGCAACCAATCAATCGGTCAATCAACCAATCAATCAACCAATCAATCAATCAATCAATAATCAAATCAACCAATCAATCAAGCAATCAATTGATTTATTGCTTGATTGATTTATTGGTTCATTGATTGATTGATTGTTGCGGCGATAGCGGTTGCTCAAGATAGAGGTCCGTTCGGGATCGCACCAATCTATCACCTGTCTCTCTCTCTCTCTCTCTCTCTCTCTCTCTCTCTCTCTCTCTCTCTCTCCCTTCAATCAATC